CCCCCCCAATAACAGTTGTTTGGCCCATGTCGCTCATAACTGTTGCTTGTTTTTCATTGACGCTTTTATCTCTGATGATGCACACCAGTAAGAGCCCGAAAGCTTAGACGAATAAAATTATGATTCAGGTAATCGAAACGTATTTTCTTTCTCTAGCTACCAAAATTTTTTATCATGTGTAAACGAGTAATGACAAAGGGGAAAAGAATAAATACCTCCACACGCTCCCGGCACTTAGCAATTAAACGTTTTTCTCCTATTTTTGCCTCGAAGTGATAGACAGCTGAATCTGAATCCAGGGGGAAGGAGAATTCCGTCTCCAGAGTCTTGTCCGAGTCATTGCGAAAAGCGAAGTTGCAGACCACGTCTGCCGTGGCATTTATGATGCTAGTGTTAACCTGAACTGATTGGAGGGGAATAGCCGTCGGGGGATAGTCGCCCACATTTTTCAGTCCGAATGTGTTTCCTTTTTGTGAATAGTGTCCCATAAATATGTGCGTTAGACTTACCATAGGTGCAGAACATTTTTAGGTAGGACTTGGCCAACAGAGATTCGTGTCCGCTCTGAAATTTATAAGAATATGATAGAATGAGTGCAACGTACACATAATTGCGAAGTTGGCACGAAGCGCAGGGTTGCCTGCTCATAGTTAGGTTTGGCCTCCGTCTTAAAAACCATGTTCATGGGCCAAGCATTGAAAAAGCCTGGTCGTGGCTTGGAACATTTCCTATTTTCCGGTCTCTTTATTCAAACCCTCGGGCGTCGTCATTTGATGAGAAGTCCAGGTTATCATCAGGGGACAGAGATCATCAGACTGTAAAGCTTTCTGTGAGTCGCGCCTTTTTTAACATTGCGCCCATCCCACCTCAGGCGACCGGTCAGCTAGACGGCGGCCTGTTGTTGACAATGGAAGAGAGAGTGAGGTCGACCCTCAGCGCATTTCTTCCCTTACTAAAAACAATCTGATGCGCTTGAAGCTATCACGGTGCGCTAAAAGCAGTGGCTTGGATGGTTGCCAACTGCAGGGACAACTTGGGCACCGCAGACAGTCCAGTGTGTGTCTTTTTGTGTGGAGTGGCTTACCGCGGCCTGAGAGTCAGGCTCAATGGCTCCTTCTTAATATGGCCTTTAGGGCGCACCCAGGCGGGAGCCTGCCTGGCGAGGTGCGCTGTTGGTACGTGTGTTGAGTGTTCGTCGTGCCAGCCGCCTGCGCCCGCCCCCGTTTCCGGTCTTCTGGAATTTTGTCTTGACATCAGATCCTGCTGTGGGAGTGGTGAGAGAGTGGGACAGATTCTTCACAAGC